CCCTTCTTTAAAAAGGCGCCACAATTGTTTGACGCCTTCCTCTCAGACCCTGGGACCATCATGTCTCTGAAGACGTCCCTGAATCCGGGAAAGGATCTTGGTCTTATGTTCGCTGAGTACTGCAGCTGCAAGGATGAACAAGAATCCTATGCAGCAGAATACTTTGCCAAGGCCTGTATGCCTAACTCAGAGGATTTATTCCGTGGTCCTTGTGGTTGTTGTGCCAGAGGTGGTGGCTCTACTGATGACGATTTTCGTGACTGGTATGACAAGCTGTCTGTCTACACTTYGGACATGGACGTGGAACAGAACAGTGGTGACGCTGACGTTGATGTACACCTTACTCTCAAAGATGATAACAGGGCATCAGCGATTCCTGAAGTCGTCCCACAGTCTTACCTTGAGGTRAGGGATGGTGATGATGATGGTGATGGTCATGCTGGTGATTACAGAAATGCAGTTGCCAGCTGTGGTCCTGACATGGGCGAATCCGTCACTATTGAACTGGCTGAGAGCAATGTCGATAACATCAACAAAAATGATGAGGATGATGGCCATGGAGATGAGAGTAAAGGGGATGGTCTTGGTTAGGCTGATGACCTCAAGGAGGAGTTAGCAAATACTAGTGCTCGACACGATTATGGCAGAGCCCTTGTGACTAAAGTGTCTCAGCTCAATGTCGGCGATGACGGCAATCTTTGCAAGGATGATCATGGTGATGGCGATGGTGCTGTTGTCGGTGATGTGGCACTCTTTGCTGAAATGCATCTGTCGAACCTTCATGATTAAATCGTTGGCGATGGGGGTCTTCGTGAGCATTATAATGACTGTGAAGATCAAGTCGGCAATGATCACTGCGATGAGGACAAAGTTCTATCGACTACCCTTGCACACTCGGAGGGCGATACCGGCACCAATAATCACCAGCACCAGCAGCAGCAGCAGGAGGAGGAGGAGGAGGAGGAGGAGGAGGAGGAGGAGGAGGCGGGTGATTATCGTGCACATAAGCTGGTTTCCAATGCAGCGGGGGATTTGGAAGAACAGTACGATTCTGTTGTTAGGTATCTCCTAGATTGCGAACGACTCACATCAAAAACTTCTAGAGATTGGTGGAGCTGGATCGAGAGAAGCTCTATGGGTTCGAAAACGTCTTTCCGCCGCTTCGGAATCGACCCATGCATGACAGGGACTGAGAGCGATGAAGTCATTCAGAAGCAGCTGTTGGGATTTATCAGCACACTATGTTATGGGGACTGGCTTTTTCATGATTCTACCTCGCGGGTAGACAGACTGGAATTTGACTTGATTGGGAGTGACGGCCGACATCTCCCACTGCAAATGTTCTTCTGGCAGGGACCTTACCCAGATGCTATTTACATATCAGGCTGGTTCGCAGATGTCTGGGACCGGGACACAGGGTTGCTCATCTCACATGTTGAAAGTGCCCATGAGCCGCAAAATTTAATCTCAAAGGTGAAAGTGCTAACAAAAAACCTTCAACCTGGGGGGTACAAGCCCCACCATGATGTCCCAACTGTGCTGAAGGAAACATCGTTCTTAAATGCACTTCGCGATGAAGTCATTCAGAAGTCTTGTGTCGTACGAGTACGCCAGGGAGTCCGAGATTGAGCGCGTGATTCCCGTTGCAGCTCGATTGCGAGAACTGGTGCTGGGCGCGATGCACCGGGGTTGCTTCGATAAGATGGTTGCCGAGTTGCAACTTCGCCCTTCGTATCTGAGGGATCCCGTCCAGACTGCCTGCGCGCAATTCGCCCACATCTTCAGGGGGTCGCAGTGGGAGAAACTGCCTCAGCAGCTCGTGCTCCACATCTTGCAGTTTTTGCCCCCACAACGACATGTCATATTTCGACCTCCCTCCAGCACCCAAGCATCTCGTGATGCTGCTGCACAAGCCGTTGGGTGGTTCCGGTTTGAATACGGATGGGGTGGCTCCGACATACCCGACGCACCGATCCAGGAATTGCATGCAAGGAACCTAGTCTTGCAAAAGTGAGACCAGATCTGGAACAAAACCAGGTGGGAGTCCTGGAGCGCGCCAATGGCCTTTGCCCTGTGGCCTGCAAGTGGTTTGTGAGGAAGTGGTTTTTCTTGGAGTCGCGCCTAGAAGGGGAGAAGAGCGTTACGTTATTTTATTTTTGTCTGACTCATAATAATGTACTATTTATWAAGAGTCAGTGCACATCCTTGTTAGTAAGTTCGTGGCTCTCTCTCTTGTCTGGGGGCCTAGTCCCACTTACACGAATTCTCGAATTCTAACCATACATCACGAAGATCAACAG